TGTATATATAAATACACACACATGCATGTATATATTTAAGAAAAATATGTTATGTTTATATATTAAATATATTTATATATAATATAAATTATAGGAATATAAATATATACATGTAAATATTTTCAAAATATATACTATATGTGTATGTCTTTATATATACACATGATAAATATACACAGTTCACACACATATATTCTGTAAACAAAAACTTTTATTTTGGATGTGATTAATAAATTTATAAACACTAGTAATCACTGGACTAGATTTCCAAACCAATTTTTCTTATAAAGCTTTCATAGCAAATCTTTAATTTAAACATCAGTAGCAAAGTCAAGTCGGTAGGTTCAATTAAGTTCAAAACTGTCCTTTTCACTGAATCAACAAGTCTGATTCAACTATTTGTTTGCTTCATTACTCAAATGTTTCTGGACAATTGCATAGAAATTTGAATGTATTAGATTGTTAAAATAGCTAATATAATAGTTAAATATTAGTAAGATATGTAAATATTGCAGTTTATTACAATGAAACAATTCTTCATTCTTCCTTGTGTTTATGTAATGACAAACAGTACAGGGAATGTTACTTGATTGTTTTAACTAGATTTTACTGTATTTCACTTCACGCATTAAACATTTTCTATCTACATCTATCTGTTTTTCTATTTAAACAATCTATTTTGGAGCTATTTGGTCAAAATGATTGTTTTTAGACTCAAGAAACATCCTTTTAAGCTATTTCCATGCAAGTACATCAATATTGAGATGTACATTGAAAATAACCTTATGGATACTGTGTAGATTACTGACTCTAATAGAGTTGGTACAAGCAAGGTGATTTGTGTCAGAGACCCAATCATGGGAATAAATGTGTATAGACATTAAAGGTTCTGATCAATGTTAGCTGTAGGGGATGTATTAAATCACCGGCCATGTTAGCCTGGCAGGTGCCCAGAGCCTGCAGGATGAGCTGAAGCTCTCTGACTGCAGCTGCTGCCTCCTCTCCGCAACACATCTCTGGCTCCATCACCAGCTCCATCAGACCTACACCTACAGACAGAGAGACACAATGTTTATATCAGACACTGTCCACAAAGGACACAAACTCTTCATGTTTCTGTATAAGAGTGAAGAAGCAGCACCTGCTCTGTTGAGATCTATAAGAGTCTGACTCTGGTCATCATCATGGAGACTCTTTCCACTGTCTTGCTCAAGCTGGATCTGTTTGATTTTCACACTCTTGGTTACAACTTGGTCTCTTCTGCGACCTTCAAAATAACTATAGACCAGCATGCCATTCACTGCTATGGGAACCCTCTGCTGAGTGATCTGGTAGCCTGCCTAAAAACACAAACACCAAACTGTTACACAACTAAACAATGATGGGTATCAGGACCATTTTAATTGCTAGTTTATCTAGACCTAAATATGTCTATTACACATCTGTGTCTGGCCAAGGGTTTTCAAACAGCAGGAGAGTGCTAGGAGAGCCTAAATAAAAATAGCATTAAAATAAAATTAAATAAAAGTTAAAATTAACAGATTTTGTCACTATTCATTTTGTCAATGAAATATATATTTCATTCTGCATTTAAATACTGGTCAGAACTTACATTATCTCTTTATGCATCCAAAAATATAGAGTTAGAGAAAATACAGTCTTAAAGAACTTAATAAAAAAGAAATTAAATATTTTGTTTCTATTATATATTTTGTACTTTTATTCAGCAACAATGCATTCAACTGATTAAAAAAAAAAAAAACAGTAAAGCCTTTTATATTATTATCAAAAAAATTTAGTTCAAATAAATGCTCTTCATTTGAACTTTATATTCACCCTGGGGGGATTTTTTTTTAGCTTTGCCATCAAAGAAAAAACTTAAAACAGTTACTATACAATATTACTGTTTTCCGTTTTTGATCAAATAAAAGCAAAATAAACTTCTTTCAAAAATATGTTTAACAATTTGTATTTCTAATATTTTAACACAGTATAAATCAGGCCTTTATTTACACAGTAAAATATATAGTTGCCTTTTGTATTTTAGGGAATTTTTTTTGCATATTTGGATGTCTGTAGCATCAAAGCCATGCTGTGTTTTGGCTTAGACCTCATCCAGACTTAACATGAAATCTAAATGAATGACCTTAAAACATCATAATTGTATAATCAGAGAAATCTTTTGCGTCATCACTCATCAGAATCAAATCTGGTGTTTGGCAGGGTTGGGTAGGGTTGAAAGGCCAGGGTTAAGGTTATGACAAAATGAAATCGCATGCAGATACTTGTGATCTGGCTACATTTTCAATCTCCTTCAGTTTCACTGCAAAGCAAAACAGAGCACTCGTAACTGTTGCTATGGCAACTCCATGACCAAAAGCCACTAGAAATTTATAATGGTTAATGGCATGCAAAAGAGTAAAGGAAAAAAAGAAAGAAAAAAAGCAATTAGCCATTACCATCTGCGTGTTGTACCTGATCAACTAATTCATCATGGCCACAAAAAAAAAAAAAAAAAAAAAATATGGGTAAAATAAAAAAGTAGCGCTAATGAAGAGTGACAGATTCCTCATAAGGCAAAGATTCCCTCCATTTCAATGTCTGCGCTTTCTCAATGCCAACTCAGTCAGAATCAGTCCTTGCTTATGATTATTTTGGCTTAAAATTGGTTTTTCAATCTGTTTGGTGCATGTTGTATTACAATATAAGTAATACAGGAAAGGAGGATATGCCTTCACAAATCATTTTTCCTGCACAGTCCAAATATATACATTAATTCGAAATTGTTTTTGTCTGATATTTTGTCTTTATAAAATTGTGTTAGAATTAAAATGACATTTTCACTTAATCTAATAATACTATTTAATTTTGAGTTTATCTCGCATGCTGTATCTTTACACAAGAGATATCATGTTATTTTGTGAAGAGATGATGTAACCGACATCACTGAGTAAATGGACTTTAGCCAAAGAATTATTGAAAAAAAAAAAAAACTTAATAGAGCACAACAGGTGGGTTCTGGAAGAAAAAAAATCTCATTTATTTTCACCCAAGATTTTTTTTTAATTTTTTATGATGATAACATATAAATCTTAAAAAAACAAAAACAAAAAAAAGAGTAAATTGAGTTCTGGGGTTGTTAGGAGAAAGCATATGCTTCTGTAGAAGCTACACATCGATGTGATTTCAACTTCATGTTAAGAAAATCATGTTGATTTTGTCATTCTGATCATGTTCAGAATTCCTGGTAAAGTTCAATATTAAGCCTACCCACACTGCTCAAAGGAGACTGACCAAAAAGAAAAGGCACTGTTACCATGGAAGCAGGAAAAGTAAAACATTTAAATCAACAAAATAAAACACTGAAATCAATATTTTAAATCAACAAATGTACTTATATATACTGAAAAATATAGATTAGACAATTGTTCTGAAGTCAATGGACTTTTGGTTAAAGGCCTGAAATAAGGTCTGTGGTTTACACAAGTTCAAGATATTTTACAACATAAAATACATCAGTAATATTCCCAAGTGGCTAAATGGGACTACAGAGGATGTCTGAGACATTAAACATCATCACATCAAACAGTTAAACTCATTTACTCACTAATCTGCTTGTGTTTATAATTGCACTCTTGCAAACGATTCTAACTCAAACTCTCATGTAGTCATGTAACCATAGATTGTTTAGATCCTATGTTTAGCTTTTTTTTTTTTTTTTACTTCTGCTTATTGTATTCAGGTCTCAAATAAAAGATTTGTGCACAAAATTATCATGCACAAAACATGTAAGAATCATAAAGCTTTGTTTGTCACAGAGCTTATTTTCTGCAACAATTCAAAAGCCAGTAGAATTTATTTTTAAATCAAGGGAACCAGGGTGATACAAACTTCTAGGTTGACCTACAAAATTACAACATTACCGCAGTATTCTATTGTTGCTGTTGTTACTCATTTATTCAATTATTCACAGTAATTCACAAGTTAATTTCCACATTAAAACGTACAGTCTTTTACCTGTTTGTGATTACCTTATTTATTTATTTTGTTTTACATCTAATAAAATGTTACAGTGCTGTGAGTAATCTCAGAGATGGCTGAATTGGTTCATGGCTTAGAACTCCTTGTTGAAAAGATTTACAATTCCTATATTAATAAAAAGAAGAAGAAGAAAAACTTCTGCTACCAAGGCCACTGAGAAAGTGGCCAGTCACTGTTGAGGACTATTGAATCCTGTCGTGATGAATTGAGCGATGCATCACAGAGTACAATTCATTCTTATTTAATTATTTTCTAAATGCTCTCAGGATATTTACAAAAGGTGAGTTTGGCTGTTTGGTGGAGGAAAGGGTTCTCAGAACTGCTAAAACATATTAATGTTTTTTTAAACGACATTAAAAAAAATGTATTTGGCCTTACAAATCCAATACAAGAAGCTGAAACATTGCTCGGACCAGAGCTTGAATGTTTTAAGCTTTTAAGAGCAGACACTGTTATTCATCTACATTAGTGGCAGCTATTCTGTTTCCTGCCTGTTCAGCATCACTTCTTCATTAAATCCCAGGGAAAGAAAGAGTGATGCGCTGGATATATGTACATGTCTCTTTGACAAACAATGGATCCATAAAGCAGCTAATCAAAAATAACAACCATATAGAGTTGGAGGCGTAGGAAAGATGTTCTTGTCCATTGCATTTGTGTCATCAGCACTTCTATCCTTTGGAGTACGAAGATAAAACTAAGAAACGCTGACAAATTCATTAAGCACCTATATGTGTGCAGCTAAGAGAACTCACAGGCATGTCTGCATAAAAGTAGTGCTTCCTGTCGAATAGTGACTTCCTGTTGATGGTACAGTTGAGAGCAAGGCCTGTCAATACAGCAGCCTCCACACATCTTCTGTTCAGTACCTTAGGAAATGTAGCAGCAAGACATTCAACAGAATTTAGAACTGCAATGAAATGACAGACATAATGCAGATTTATATTGGTGTGTGTATACAGGTGCATCTCAATAAATTAGAATGTCGTGGAAAAGTTCATTTATTTTAGTAATTCAACTCAAATTGTGAAACTCGTGTATTAAATAAATTCAATGCACACAGACTGAAGTAGTTTAAGTCTTTGGTTCTTTTAATTGTGATGATTTTGGCTCACATTTAACAAAAACCCACCAACTCACTATCTCAACAAATTAGAATACTCCATAAGACCAATAAAAAAAACATTTTTAGTGAAATGTTGGCCTTCTGGAAAGTATGTTCATATACTGTACATGTACTCAATACTTGGTAGGGGACATTCTAATTTATTGAGATGCACCTGTATATGTGTGCGTAATTTCATTGATTTACATACTGGCAGTGTTCCTGGTAATGAAGCATCAAAATGTGAGACAAGTGAATTTGGTGGAGCCAAGAATCTGACATGAGATCCAGAGAAGAGCTTTGATGTGGACTGAATCTGAGCATGGATTTCCAGACCCACAACACCAACCATCTGAGGAAGACTAGACAACAAAGCCCAAGAGTTGAAGAGTTGGTGGCACTGGAACTGACGGCACTTAATGGTAACTTTCATTACATTCATTTATTTAGCAACAATACATTAAATTGATCAAAAGTGACAGTATTTTTTGCGGTGGGGTGGGGGGGGGTAATATAAAGTTTAAATACTTGGCTCTTATAACATGTACAGTGTTATTGCTTAGGACATTTGGTGTGTTATTTATTCTTATAGTAGCTATTTTGTGGCATTGTTATTTATTCTTATAGTAGCTATTTTGTGGCATTGTTATTTATTCTTATAGTAGCTATTTTGTGGCATTGTTTAATTTAAGAAAATTAAAATAAAGTGATTTAAAAATGTGGCAGTAAAAACATTATAATGGTACAAGAGATTTCTATTTTAATTTCTGTTTAAATTTTTCAATTTTAAATTGTAATAATGCTTCATAATATTAAAGCTTTTAAATCTGCTTTGAATGATAAGAGACTTCTTTACAACATTACACCAAAGCATTTTAACAATAGTGTAGTTTAAAACCCCCTAAAATAAAATAATTTTGTGAATTCTCTGATCCAGACTTTTTTTGTTTGTTTTTTGTAGACTAAAAAGACTAAAAAAACAAGACTAAAAAGATCCGAAAGCCACTATTAGGAACTGTTCATAGGAGTAAAAAATGTGACAACCAGCCACAGTGGTGAATGTATTTTAATGAGCTGTGATCATTTTAATTGTAATGAATATTATTATTTAAGGATAATTTATTTTATTTCATAAAATACTTAAATTATTTTAATATACACATTAACAAACACCATCCGATTTATTATTATTTCATTTTTTTGCAGTATGTATTAATGACATATAATGTACAGGTGCATCTCAATAAATTAGAATGTCATGGAAAAGTTCATTTATTTCAGTAATTCAACTCAAATTGTGAAACTCGTGTATTAAATAAATTCAATGCACACAGACTGTTAAACTACTTCAGTCTGTGTGCATTGAATTTATTTAATACACGAGTTTCACAATTTGAGTTGAATTACTGAAATAAATGAACTTTTCCACGACATTCTAATTTATTGAGATGCACCTGTATATACATTTTTTCAGAGCACATGTAAAGTCAAGGTCAGCAATCAAGTATGGTCTCAACTTCTCAAGAGTTTCAAATCTGCAGTCTGTTAACACATACACCACATTAATTAATTCCATTAAACCAGAGAAAGACCATTACTCAAATCCCTCATGTTGATAACAAATGTCAGAATGCCTGTCTCCAACCTATGAACATCCTACATAGCATTTTGGGGGCATTTGATTCCTACCTTTTAGTATGGACTTTGGGCTGAAGTTGAGTTCTGGATCCAGATGTCCATATTGTCCTTATCACTAAATTAAAACTATCAATATGATATAAACTTTGTGATTTATTAGCATATTTCCTTAGCTTAAAGAACATTCTGCTGTATCCTGAAGGAGAGGCTGCCATGCTTGTGTTTGTGTGTGGGCAGATGGTCTACGTAGTTTTACAGAGCAACGAGGAACTCGCCAGTGTAACGTATGATGATGAAGAAAAAACTTCAACTCCCATAATGCCAGAAGCGCAAAGGCAAAGTTTCCGGCGACTTCTTATGACGGCATTCACAAACCTTGTATTGATAACTGTGGTGCAGTTGGTGGCGGGAGATTCACGCATGGTCCTGCACGTGAATGATCATCTTTGAGCACTTCTCTATTTTCAGGGCTTGCCTTTCGCTCGTTTAAATTACAATGGCGCTGCAGCAAAACGGGATCGGATCCAAACACAACGGTGACACTTCCAGCCGTCACCCATCTACGAATGGGAACGGAGAAATCCAGCATGACCGGGCCGAGGGATTCACTTTCACCTCCGAACCCACGCTTGAGGACATCCGCCGCATGCAGACTGAATTCACGGAGGAGAGGAACTGGAGCCAGTTCCACAAGCCGCGGAACCTGCTGCTCGCGCTGGTCGGGGAGGTCGGGGAGCTGGCGGAACTCTTCCAGTGGCGCGGGGAGGTGCAGGAGGGTCTGCCGGACTGGACCGAGCCGCAGCGGGAGCACCTGGCCCAGGAGCTCAGCGACGTGTTGATCTATCTGGTTGAACTGGCAGAAAAATGCCACGTTGATCTGCCTCAAGCTGTCCTCCGCAAAATGGCCCTAAACCGACTCAAGTACCCGGCCAGCAAAGTTCACGGGTCTGCCAAGAAATACACGGAGTACAAGGACTGATGTCCTGAGTTTATTTGAGGAAGCTAACGTTAATGTTGAGTGCCTTAAACTGTTAAAATCCATTGTGCTCTTAACGTTGCTGGTTTTTATTTCATTTGAACTAAATGTTAGCACTACCACTCTTGGTTTACGTTGAGCTTTTTAGAATTTGTATGTAAGAAACTTGTTTGCATAGTTCTGGCTTAGTTTTAAAGTTCTTGTGTTTTTATTTTACCAAACAAAAGCTGCCATGGGACAGTATAAGTTGCTTTGCTGTGTAGTGTTTTTGCTTCATCACAGTAAAGTGTTTTGCAGCTCACATGGTGTCTGTGCATCTGTTCACTGTTTCAAACATTGGAATTCACATTAAAAAAATATTAGCTGCTTATAGTTTCACTGGCACTTTTCTAAAATTTCATAAAAATCCATTAGATGATTTGTGTGGAGCGCATTTATGACTTAGTTCAGCCACAAATCTGATCAAACACCTGAACAAGTAAATAAAAAATTACTAGAAAATTCCAGGCAAGAGTTTGATTGGACTGTGCTGTTAGTGATTGGTTTCAGTATGGTACTGGTCGGAAGATTATTGGAGTGAATAAAAAGAAAAAAGGTTTTTAGTTCTAGACATTGTAAAATGGGTGCAATTATTGAAAAATCCTGTTTGTGAAAAGGAGCCAGTACTTGTATGCTTGCTCTAAGTGATTTTTCAAAATACACAATTTTGACAGGAGTTCAGTAATTTATACTGCATATGTCATAATTCACTCTATTTACAATTTAAATATTTGTAAATTAAATTCACAATTAAATATTTACAATTACCCGATTCCATCTGCACACTCATCAAAACCAATGCCATTCAGAGAATTATGGAACAACTCGGGCTTTCTGATTATCATCTTGTAATGTTTGTTATTCTAATGGTACACCTCTAATTAGCAACGTTAAGCTTTGGACACCTGATTAAATTCATCAGCTCATTAGTATTAGTGTTTTGTCTCCTGAGCCCTGCTGTGTACATTAGTAAGACACCTTAACATTGCTGAAGAGTGCTGAAGAAACTACACAAAGACTCAAGAGAAGTGTCAGACAAAAGTGAAGCAGACCATTTTGGCAAAAATTAATATTAGAGCATTTAGTGCATTTGAGTTGCTTAAAGGAATAGTGAAAAGGTACTCACCCTCAGGCCATCCAAGATGTGGATGCGTTTTGTTTCTTCATCTGAAATAAATTGGGAAAATGTAGCATTACATTTCTTGATCACCAATGGATTCACTGCAGTGAATGGGTGCTGTCAAAATGAGAGTCCAAACAGCTGATAAAAACTTCACAATAATTCTCAAGTAATCACACAACGGCAGTCCATTAATTAACATCTTGTTAAGTGAAAAGTTCCATCAAGGTGTTTTAACTTTAATACCATAAAGTCTATCATCCATAATAATGCTTCCCCCAGTGAAAAGGTCAATCCCCTGCTGTCCTCCCACATCAAAATTCACTGGCATATTTGATTTGATTATTTTGGAGTCTTTTCACTTGTAGATGCTTCTTGACCTGTTTATGTATAGCATATTTCTTCCCTGAGTCAGATGAAACAACCTTTTCACTGGAGAAAGCAATAGACTTCTGTTTTAGCCAGAAGCAATACCTTGATGATGAATGATGTTAATTGATGGACTGGAGTCGAGTGAGTACTTGTGAATTATTGTGAAGTTTTTATCAGCTGCTTTGAGTTGTTTTTACTGCAGTATCAAGATGATGTTACAAACAGAGCTTGCATCTCCCAGACGTTGTTGATCTATTGTGTATCTCTCTCTGTGTGTGTCCATAGTTGGGGGGCAAAGTGAGCTGTCAGCATCCTGCACCATAGGGGATGCCTTACTGCTGCTTTCTCCCTCGCTCAGTGATTTCTGATGCCACTCAGACTTTAGTAGCCAGACAGTGATTTTCCCAGCATCTGTTATCCATTTGATGTCATTCAGAACCGAGTGTCTGTGTGGAAGCACCGCCACCATCTTTGTCACTCTGATTTCAGCACGCAAAATGTCAAAATCCAACTTGTTTTTCTGACAATCTTGACAGCTGTAAACAGTCACAGAATTAAAAAATCTATTTTTTTAAAAGACCTAGTGTTAAAAGTTCATAGTCCTTTATCCAAATCCACAATAATGGTTTTTCTCAAATGGGACTATTTTGAGCTATATCATCTAGTCTGATTTTGTTTCTGAATGAGGCATCTACAGGGAATGAAAGCACTAACGCCTCTGCCCCATTAAAGTAGACTTCTCATTCCCTCTAATTTCTCCCATTTTCCCTGAATCACACAAATTCAAACAGATGATTGAGCAGCCACAGAATAGACAGTGATTTCAGTGATCATCACACTTTAATTCAGTTCACCACTGGAGATAAGCATTACAGAATCCCTCTGAAATTTGACTGAAATATCAATGTTACAATAGTGCTGTACAGAAGAGCATCTCTAAACACAGCAAAACTTAAAGTGGATGAGCTACAGTAGCAGAAGACCATAGAAGATTGGAAAAATGTAGCCTGGTCTCGATTGTAGGGTGGTGAAAATAGATCCTTGTCCAACAGAATAGTTCACCTACATGTATTCATATATACATAGATGCATACTTATATACATGAATAAAATTGTCATTATTTTCTCTTTTTCTGTTCAAATGTTTTGGGTCAGTACAATTTTTTTTAGGTTTTGAAAGAGATCTCTTCTCCAAGGCTGCATTTATTTGATTACACATACAGCAAAAACAGTAATATTGTGAAATATTATTACAACTTAAAATAATGTCCTTTTAAATTTATTTAAAAATGTAATTTATTGATGGCAAAGGCTGAATTTTCAGCTTGCATTACTCCAGTCTTCAGTGTCACATGATCCTTCAGAAATCATTCTAATAGGCTGATTTGGTGTTTAAGAAACATTTCTAATTATTATCAACATTGTAAATAGTGCTGGTTAATATTGTTTTGAAACCATGATACATTTTTTTTGAGGATCCTCTGATGAATAGAAAGTTCAAAAGAGCATGTATCATTTACTTGAAACAGAATTTATTTTGTAACAATGTAAAAGTTTTTACTGTCACATTTAATGCATCCATGCTTAACGAAAGTATCAATTTCTTTAAAAAATTCTCACTGACCACAAATGATTTAATACTTTTATATATTAAATCATTTGTACACACTTGATAGGTTGTATTTTACATGAAAAGTCACCAATGAGGCTATAAAATCTAATTGAAAAGCTACACTTGACCGTAGTTTGAACCTTAAACGTTAAATCTGTTGATATATATTCTGAATGTCCTAGTTAACTATCAGCCTATTATATTCAGCTCCATGCCTCCTTTCAGATCCAACTAATCCCTGTGCAGAAGAAGAAGAACCTTTTCCCACAGGATGAAAATGAAAGACAAGAGTGCACTTTGTAACATCCAGTCAGTCAAATCAAAGTGCTATACTGTGGAGATGGACCAGCGCTGCATGAAGAAAGAGCAGTTCGAGAATTTCTCACAATGACACTAAAGTGCCACACATTCCCACAGCAATAACATCAGCACATTTTGAGTAATGGCTCTGATGACTCTAGCCCCTGTATAAGTGGATTGGAGCGTGGATGAGTGCACATGCACGCAACTCAGATTCCGTCATTTATTTCCTGCAAAACCTTCAAGAGTGCGGTCGAAAACAGGGTCAGAGAGATGAAAGCATAAGAGTGTACTGCAGAGAAGTGATTTTATTGGAGACTGAAGTAATACAACACCGCTCACATACTAGAGTTCCTGTTTCTCTATAAAGATTTTCTTTGTAGAACCCTGACCTCATACGGCCTCCCTGGAGCCCCACGGTTGACAAACCGCCAGCACCTTAAATTAAAAAGTTTGTGGGGAATATCAGTCTTCTAATAAGACATTCTTGACCTTTCAGATGGGCAAAAAGCTAAAAAAAAAAAAAAAATGTCAGGTTGTCACAACTGTCTATAATGAAGAAAAGAGGTTATGAAATAATGAAATGCATAAAAAGGAAATCTTATTAACTTATTAATCTTTTTTATTATACCAAAAACATGAAAAACAATCTTTTCATCAGAACTGATTCACTGCTTATCAATATTTGAAAAACCTTACACAAAAACACATTAATATAGTTGAATCAACATATGCAAACAAAATAAAAAAGGAAATTATGCTATAGAGGGAATTCCTGCAGACCCTCCTGACTCTGTATGAAGTTTAAAAATCTCTTAAAATATCACACAATTTGAACGTTCTATGGCAAGGCATAGTTAGTTAA